AATGTGTGTGTGTGTGTCACTCTCTCTCTGTACTGTTCCACTCTGTCTGTGTACTGTTTCACACTCACTCACTGTACTCTCTCTTTCTCTGTATTTCACTATCTCTCTCTTTGTACTGTAAAATGCCAATTGACACTGATGTAAATGTATCTGTGTGTGTGCGTGTGTGTTCGTGGTGTGTGGTTTGTGTGTATGTGGCGTGTGTGGGAGATGGAGATTTCCAATACACCGCTGTCAAGCGCTCTCCCCTGCAATCGTTTCATCGTATTGCACCCCTCTTCCACGCCCTCCCTTCAAAAGTTGCCTTGGCTAAGCGGGTGGTGGGGGGAATTTTATTGAGCATACCCTTCGGTCAAATCCCCCCACACTACACACCTTGAGGCGATGCCCTGGAAGAAAGGCACAATATTAAAGAAGTGTTGGTTAAACATTTCGGTAGATCCTCCCACACGGACACACTGACTGCTCCACCCGTAAAAAGTGACACACTTCACTGCAGTTTCCAGTCGCCACAACGCTGTTTATAAACGAGTCAAACCAAGATATAATAACAATAATACTTGCATTCAATACTTGCCTTACGACGTCGTTGAGACGTCTCAAAGCGCTTCACAGAATATACTGTAAAGGAATTATGACATGCTTAATGAAATTTCTCTCTCACTCAAATGAATTTAAATCAATTCGGGTTTACCGAGCTATTCTTTTTCGGTTACTCAATTTATACAAAAACTGTACTTATACATTTCTGTATTTGTAAATAATAATACTGTACTTCTACTGTAATCCTTAATTTAGTAATACTCTACTTATAGAATATTGTGGTTATAAACTTCCCACCTAAATAGAAGGCTCTGAACATGCTGATAGACTATTATTAGTAGTTATTAATAATAATCCCTGCATTTGATATAGCGCCTTATCACGTCGTTGAGACGTGCCGAAGCGCTTCATAAGATATACTGTAAGGCGCAGTGTCTGTATGTTTCGTAACGCCTAACTGACGGGAAAGGGGCGCTGACTTGGGGCGTTGCGTGTGCTTGTTTTGTGTGTGTGTGTGATACCCTTAGTCTCAGTGTGTGTGTGTGTGTATTTATATATATATATCCCTAAACCTGTGTGTGTGCACATACCTGTGTGGACCTGTTTGGGAGAGAGAAAGGAGAGAGGAAGAGAAAACGCGTGTCTGTCATTCTGACTACCCGCATGTGTGTGTGTGTCTGTGTGGTGTGTGTGAGAGAGAGAGAGAGAGAGAGAGAGCCCGTGTGAACGAGCGAGCAAGTAGGTAGGTTATAAGCGGTGGATGCAACATGTCTATTCCAATATGTACGTGTGTTTTGAACAGTGAAAGTGTATGTCTGACTGTGACTATGTGTGTGGCAGAGAATGAGAGAGAATGGGAAAATGTACGCGTGTAGGGCCGTGTGTCAGAGAGAGAGAACGAAAGAGAGAGAGAGAGAGAGCACAGAGAGAGAGTATTTTCATCCATCAATGTTATCTTTTTTTATAGTAGAAAACCTTGAGTGAAAAAGCAACTTGTTTTCACATTTCAAACCAATTAGTCTACAAAATGAAAATCTCCCCTTTCCCCCTCGAGGACAGATTTATTTGCAATGGTATGCATTTTTAATATATATCTTTACATATCTTTCTATACTTATTTGACTATTAACAAAACAGATTAGAATAGCTTTGAGAATTAAAATATGTGTAAGGTTTGCTATGGAATAAAGCCTCTATCCCAGGACAGAACATCAGGGCTTGCGCATAGAAAATACCTTTTGGCCTTCAAAACAATTTTAAAAATTGCAGTTTATACAATGTACAATGTTTCTCTCAAAGGAGAGCAGATTTGTTAGAATAAATCACGCTAACGCAAATAAAGGACATCAACATAGTGCTTATATCATATATATGTAATATATTATATATAATAATAATCCTTGCATTTGATATAGCGCTTTATCACGTTTTCGAGACGCCTCAAAGCGTTTCACAGAATATACTGTGAAGTGAATTGACTGCATAGTGAATATCGAATACTGATCGTCTTACATTAATGCAGGTTGACTATTTTTCCTGTTTGAAGATGCTATATATTATATATAACATACATATAAACTTTTAGAAACACATATATGTGTTGTTTATAGTATATGTAATGTTAACTCTCTCTCTCTCAGACCACGAATACCGAGAGGTGCACAGCCGAGCCCGCAGTATAGTGCAAAGGGGGCGAAGAAAAGTAATTAATTTAAAATAAATAATAACAATAATAATTCTGCTGTAGCCCACTCTGTCTGCGGCTTAATCGCTCTTCCGTCGAACCCAAAGACTGATAGACTGCAATCTCTCTCTCCCCTCTCACACACACACATACATACCCGACCTCTCTTTAATCAGGACCCCTTTACGGCGCAAGAGAGAGGCAGAGAAACTGAACACATTTGAGGCATCGTCTTATTAATCAGCCTATTAAATAATGTCCGGCTTTGCAGGGCGTCAATGAGGAGGGAATATTTACCAATGTCAGTCTGGTTTTGTGTGGATGGAGAGGCCAGCCCTTTCCGACATGCAACTTTTGTTCCGCGAATCCAATTAAAAACTCTATTGTCGCCACCTCTCAGGCTAACTCGGGCCATTCTCTCCGTGTATTTAGGGGTTTTTAATCACACCTCTCTACCCTTTCTCTCCTCTCTTTCTCTGTATAACGTCCCCTTTCACAGGCCAAGCCACGGGGACAATTAATTTGAGTGTGTCGGGTCGCCAGTGCAAAGCCATTTATTAGCAAAAGGGACCCCAGAGGGAAAGAGGAGGTGGCACACACAAAAGCCCGCTTTTTGGGCGGTTTGAAGAGAATTTGAATAAACATTTTTGGATTATTTTATAGAATTAAAAGCGTTGGGGTGGGGGGGAGTTATAGTAAAAAAAAAGTTGACTTTGTTTGCTATGTGGCAATTTTTTAAAATTACGTTTGTTCTCCGAAAACTTTAAAAAAAATACATATACATCATAATATAATATATATAATAATTCGACATATATTTCCTCCTGTGCGAGATCCAAGCCGTGAGAGTCACGCTTTTACATTTTTTTAAATTAAAGATAAAGAAATATATATATATATTTAACATTTAAGTTTCATTTAAGTTTACCCATTGGGAAAATAATATTACAAATAAAAAAAAGGATAACGCGGTGCAGAAATGCGTTCAGTCCAATACCTTGTTCACGTTTATTATCATTATTAATAATAATAATAATAAATACAGCTTTCTATGTATATAGATAAACAATTAAAATGCAAGCATGTTAGAATCCGTCGGATTAACATATTTACACACAGCAAACTAATATTTACATTAGTCTGTCCAGAAAGAAAGCATGTCAATACGTTTTCCAATTAAATATTTTTTACAAAGTATGGAAACTTTTTTAAAAAAAAGTTAGTGATACTTTATATATATATATACTTAAAGATATAATGGAACATGCGATTTGAGGCCTTATTAATAATATATCACTGGAAACTTATAATCACAGTACCACCGTAACTGGTCGCTAGAAACAAATGTAACACTTTTAAGACAAAAGTAATCAGATATGAAAAAAATATTGCACCTGAAGGTTTATTTTTTTAGTCGGTTTAGTGTATTCCAGCAGTTTTTATAGCAGAGTGGTGTTTTATACAAGACCAGGGAGGGGAGGGAGGATTTCCCTTTGACTATCAGACATCACAATAGTCTGTGCTATTAACACAAGTTGAACTCTATACATGACATTCCATTCCATCTTTGCAATCGTGGCGTAAGGTTATTTTTTTGTACAGTGAAGAGTTTTTTTTAGCAACATTCAGTGAAATATCGGACAATTTGGCCAACAATCCGTGTGAATACATACACCTCATTCCTTTTTTCTTCCCCCTTTTCTCATCCCCGTTCCTTTTTCCCCACCTAAAAACAGAGCTACAATTATTTAAGTGATTTTTTTCGCCTTTTCTTTAAGTCGATATTTTCAAGTGGTTGAGAGGGCGGTGTGTGTGTGTGTGTGAGCCGCTTGCTTGTTCGCTCTCTTCCCGTAGGTATCTCAATGTGTTCAGAATCAATCTGGCATTTGTGTGTGTGGGTATATATAAAAGGCAATCTTGACATTTACCTTGCTTAGTTCTGGAGGTGTGTGAGTATTGGGATGGGGAGTAAGGAAGGTTAAAACAGCCAATAGTTTGTAATTCTTTAAATATAGTTAAGACTGCGGATAAATGTATCATTTTAACTCACCCTTTCCTCTGTCTGTCTATATCTCTCACGTTTTCCAAAATATGGAAGCTACAAGCAGTAAATTACTCCCTTAAAAATCACCCGCGTCTCTCTGTATCCTCTCTAAAATATCTTCATTAGTCATCTAGATAATTATTTGTGAGGACAAGTTTGCAGGGCTATGGGGAGAGAGCGGGGGAGTGGGGTTGATCGGGGCTATGGGGAGAGAGCGGGGGAGTGGGGTTGATCAGGGTTATGGGGAGAGAGTGGGGGAGTGGGCTTGATCAGGGCTATGGGGAGAGAGTGGGGGAGTGGGGTTGATCAGGGCTATGGGGAGAGAGTGGGGGAGTGGGTTTGATCAGGGCTATGGGGAGAGAGTGGGGGAGTGGGCTTGATCAGGGCTATGGGGAGAGAGCGGGGGAGTGGGGTTGATCAGGGCTATGGGGAGAGAGCGGGGGAGAGGGGTTGATCGGGGCTATGGGGAGAGAGCGGGGGAGTGGGGTTGATCAGGGCTATGGGGAGAGAGTGGGGGAGTGGGGTTGATCAGGGCTATGGGGAGAGAGTGGGGGAGTGGGGTTGATCGGGGCTATGGGGAGAGAGTGGGGGAGTGGGGTTGATCAGGGCTATGGGGAGAGAGTGGGGGAGTGGCGTTGATCAGGGCTATGGGGAGAGAGCGGGGGAGTGGGGTTGATCAGGGCATTGGGGAGAGCGCGGGGGAGTGGGGTTGATTTGGAAACTCTTTCCAAAGATGCGGCACAGACACCATGGGCCGAATGGCCTCTTTCTGTGCACTATAATTCTATAGTTCACCCAGTCCTTTAATCCGGGAGTGAATCGGAGGGGAGAGTGTGTGTATGTGTGTTTGGGGTCTGAAATGATACACTTATGTGTGTCAGATGAAGTGTGCACGCAGTCTCTCTGGTCTAAGTTTTAACAATCAGATCAAACCGCGTCGGATTGGAAAGCACACATTACAGAAAAAGGCAACAAAAATGGTTTAATACATACACACACACAAGGGGATAAATATTCGGCCAATTCAATCATTTTCAATCCAGACTGGATTTTGGTGGGAAGAAAACGTGCTGGTCCCCACCCCCTCACCCCCACACTTATATTTTTTATTTGAAATTATCTATATGTAAAAAAAAAGTTCATAGGAAATCAATATATCCTTTATCGTCTCTCTGAGTGACACCCATCACCTACCAGGCCCGGATTCCTTGTAAGCTCCCCTGACAAGCAGAGACAGATGCGGTTGAGTGAGCCTGCGGTTGCACAGTCGTGTTAATCGTGTTCAGATCCACATTCATAAAAGCTTGGGCGCCCGTGGAGGATGTCAGAGAAGGGAGCGTGGTGTAAGCGCAGCTATAGTTTGTGTTGTAAGCCGGGTTGCTGTAAGTGCCATATGTGGCGGGGTAGCTGTTATAAGGGTAGGCGCCGGCTCCGACATTGTAAGACCCAGTGTAACTTGGAGAACCCCCAATACAAGGCTTCCCATCACGGACTAGAACAGGCACGGCGACCCTCCTCGGGGGTAGAGGGTGATGGTGCCCGGCTATCTCCAATGACTTATCCTGTCGCTGCCTCTTGCACTTGTACCGCCTGTTCTGGAACCAGATTTTGACCTGAGTGGAGGTGAGTTTGAGATTGTTGGCGAGTTGTTCTCTCTCGGGCGCTGACAGGTATCGCTGCTGCTTAAACCGCCTCTCCAACTCGAACACTTGAGCTTGAGAGAAAAGCACCCGAGGTTTCCTCCTCTGCCTCTGCTTAGGCCTCTCCGACTCCTCTTTCTTACTGTTCTCCTCGATTTCCGAAGACTTTTTCAAGGAAGAATTTTCTGAGTGTGAGGCGTGCGGTGAGAGACAGAGCGAGAGACGGAGAGAGAGCGACAATTAATAGTAATTCAGATACAAACGGCCTGGGAATGAAACCAACACCCGCATATTTCCCACAAAATATACAATCAATTTATTTTACAGTATATTTGTGAATCGCTTTGAGACGTCCCGAAGACTCGATAAATTCAAGGATTATTGTTATTAAAGTTAATAAAAAGTTTGCTTGCTTCAAAATACATTTGTGAATTCTCGAAACAACAAAAAGTAAATAGTGATGGCTTTGCAAATAACAACTGTGACCCGTTTTCCCCTTTCTTTTTCGCTTCTGAGCTGCAGAGAATATAATACATGCAAGGATTATTATTACGTAAATAATAATCGGTTTGCAACTGCGCGTTTGAACATTTTGGTTTCAGCAACTTTAACGTTTAACTTTCACTTGACTCGTTTCCAATTGTGAGATAAAGAATGATATAATCATGATCAATTTGATCGCCTTTTATTCCACTTTCTACTCCCCTCACACACAAAAAAAACCATCTGAGACATTGGGATAGATCCATTTGACAAAAATCTCTCATATTTTTGCACTGTGCTTTATGTACATTAAATCCTAAAACTCCATTAATAAAACCACCATTTTTTTCTCCATTGAAATAACCTACAATATAATGGTTCCAGCGAGAGAGTGCGCTTAAATGCACACTGGCCCAGAAAGCACGAACCACACATGTGAGTGTACAAATGAATTACTTATCTTAAGTATAACACAAGTCAGACACTGGCCAGAACTAAACCATGGGAAGGCAGGTTTATTTGAACATAAAAAACGCCAGTAATAAGCGGGCGAGCGCACACAGACAGACCAAAAGGCCACCCATAGATGATCACAATAACAGAGATGAACACAACTTAATAGTTTCCAGCCTAACTAATTAGCGAAGCTCATTCTTATTCAGACAGGGACACAGTTTGCTCATACACTGTTTACGGCCTTTGGTTCCGCGAGATTATATACACACATCGATAATAATATTTTACATTATAATTTGCTGCCGCGTTTCGAAGCTCTTCACGGAATATACTGTAAAGCCAATTCACTTTACAGTGTGTTCCGTGAAGAGCTTCGCGACGTCTCGAAGACGTGATACACGGCGCTATATCAAATGCAAGAATTATTATAGAAATATAATCCTAACTTACGCGGGGATTTTTCGAAAGTATAGTATTTTGAACATACAGTATTTCCCGCCGGAAAATATAACTTTGAAAAGATGTTGCGTTTAAACACGCAGTGAATGTGAGTCATCCCGGCGTGTGGCGTGAAAACAGCCTCGATGACTGTTATGCTACGAGTTCCTTCCACTTCCAACGCCGTATGTGAGCGAATTTGATCGCTCTGTTTGAATGATATCATTGTCGAACCCCCCCCCCACACCCCCCACACCCCAAGATTAAACGTTTCCAATAGCCACCACACCAGCAAAAAATATATAATCATAAACAACCGAGAATTACGTATTTTGTCTCAAACCGCCTCTTTGACTTTTAGAGCGTTAAAAATCGAATGGAATTGAAAAAATATAAACGCTTTAAAATCAAACTTGAATCGTTTCATTTTTACAGGATCCACTGTGCGTTTTCTAGGATGGTGCACAGAGTGAGGATACAGCGCTTGAATACAATCCAACACGATTATTGCACGTTTGCAGGTCGACAGATAATTTAGTACGATGGTGGGACGAGACCGTGCACAGTCACGGGAGCTGGGGGGGGGGGGGGGGGGTTTGTTGTTGTTGTTGCAAAAAAATTAAAACGTTTGCTTACTTTTATCCTCGCCCAAAGCGATTTCTTCCTCCAATTTGTTTGCACAGGAGCTGCCGGTCAGGGCAGCCTGGACGTAGAGGTGCTTGGGGGAGCGGCCGGCCTCGCCGGGGTGGCCCGGCACCGCCAGAGAGTTCAGGAAAGGCAGCTTCTCCTCGCCATCAGAGTAGCCGGAGCTCTCCCCCCCGGCGTGCATGCAAGCCGGCGCCTGGAAGTGAGCAGCCGGCAACAAGTCCTGTCTCAACTGCTGCGACTGCTGATGGTGCTCCAGGTTCAGAATGTCCTTCACCGAGAAGGGAGTCGACGTGATGGGGCTCGGAAGCATCATCGGGGACCGAGCAAAGCCGCTTAACACGATTGCGTGTGTCCCGCACAGGTGGCAATGTTACCCTGAGCCGAAGATCAATCCACACAGCTTTGCGTTCTCTCTCGGCTCCAGACTCCCCCTTTTTTTTTGGCAAAGTGTGTGTGCGCGTTTTTTTTTGTTTTGTTTCTGTTTGTGTTGCAATGGGACGAATGCGCCTCTTGGATGGCAGGATCTGTGCCCTCTCCCTCTCTCCCCCACTCTCTCTCTCTCTCTCTCTCACTTGCACTCCAGTTGCTGAGCTCAGCGCTGCCCGCGGTGGCGGAGGCGGAGGCTGGAGGTCGGAGGCTGAGCCAATCAATGGCGCTGCACCGACACGACAGTCCCGCAGCACTTTTTGTTGCTGTTCGGCCGGCCCGGGAGCAGGCGGGGTGACGTCACAGACCAGGGGGCGGGCGCGACGCGACGTGACGTAACGTGACGTGACGTGGGGGGGGAGGAGACCACGCGCCCCGGGCGAACCACGTGGCCCGGGAGGGGCGGGGCGGGGCTTCCAGTCCTGGCCTCCGATTGGCTGAGCCGCTCACCAGCCAAGGGCCTGAATCAGCAGCTCAGCCCCAGTGAGGAGCACTGGTCCCAGTGATAATAATCCTGGCGTCCGATGTTGCACCTTAATAACAATAACAACAACAATAATAATAATCCTCGCATTAGATACAGCGCTTTTCACGTCTTCTCGACGTCCCAAAGCGCTTCACAGAACACACTGTAAAGTGAATTGACTGTATATTTGTGGGCGAACGTGGCAGCCAATTGCGCACAGCAATGTCCCACAAACAGTCGTGGATTGAAAATGACCAATTTTATTATTGTTTTGTTTTGGAGGGATTATTATTAGGCTCTGTGTGGAGTAAGGAAACTTGCCCAAGGTTTCGCCCTCTGCCTGGAATTGAACTCAGGTCTCTCGCTTGCAAAGCGACTGCTCTAACCACTGAGCTACAGGACTCCGAATGGGTCTCCGAAGATTCTTATCACGTCTTTGAGACGTCTGAAAGCGCTTCACAGACCATATAATGATAATAATAATCCTTGCGTTTGATATAGTGTCTTATCACATTAGTGAGGCGTCTCAAAGCGCTTCACAGAACATATAATGATAATAATAATCCTTGCATTTGATATAGTGTCTTATCAGGTCATTGACACATCTCAAAGAGGTTCCCATAATGGTTATAATAATCCTTGCGTTTGATATAATGCCTTATCATATTAGTGAGGCGTCTCAAAGCGCTTCACAGAACATACTATAAAGTGAGTTGTGACTTTGTATTTTGTGGAAAAAACACACAGCCAATTGTGCACAGCAGTGAACCACAAACAGTCATGCATCAAATTAATATTGTTTATTTATATATTTATTGATTGAATAAAGTAATGCTTTATGTATGCTCCAGTATAAGCAATGCAAAATGCAGTTTATTTTCTTTCCCGATGAGTGACCAGACACTTTGTGATGGCACTGTGCATTTGTATGGGATCAATATTATCAAATCGATGGTAATGTTAATACAATTCTACTTTTTGATAAAAGGCAAAATACTGCAGATGCTGGAAACCTGAAATCTGATGCTGGGTTAACTCACCTTAACTCACTTTCCTGTCACCATTGACCTGCTGGGTGTTCCCAGAGACTTCTGTTTTTATTTTGTTTTAATATTTCTTTCTGTAATATATTATATTTAAAATGCACCATGGTCACAGTTCTCCTGAGAATACAATTTAAATATAAAATTCCTTGCATTCGATACTTAAGCGCTCTGAGATGCCGTCTGTGGAGGGCGCTATATAAATCCAAGTTGTTGCTGTTGTTGATATAGCACCTCAACAACAAAACAATAAAGCTTGTATAGCGCTTTTCATATCGGGAGGACGCCTCAAGACGTCTCAAAGCGCTTCACAAGATTTAGTGTAAAGTGTGGTGACTATGTATAAACACTTCACCGGATTTAGTGTAAAATTGAGATATGTAAGTGACATATATGTGTACCCACATATATAGGCGATTTTCATTCTAAATGAAAAGAAACAAAGTACAATCGTATGTAAATAAATATTTGTTCTCCATATTTTTTCTTCATATGAAATGTTTTATTATCAACCCAGCCAGTCATTATTTATACTAATAATTCAATATCAACCATATTAGTATTACATACATAGTAAAGTGAATTGATTGGGTATTTTGTGCGTGAATAGTAAATAGAATGCGCAATCTTAATGAATCAAAGGAATGCATAAGGTGACACCAATCGATTGCACACCAAAATATAGGATTAATGGCAGTAAAATAATGTAGAATGCGAAATCACTATTAGTGGGGTCGTTGTCCTTTGTTCCTCCTAGGATCTGAACATGAGGAAAGCATCCGTTTGTAGTGTGGACACAGTAAAAAAAATAACATAAATAATATAAAACTAGACAGACAGACAGACAGACAGACATACCCACTCTCCTCGTATCCCACCGCCTCTCCCCAAACACAACATACCGCCTTTACTGATCCCTCAAAAATAACATGTCCAATAGCAGTCGCAAGTATAAATCATAAAAATCTGAATTATTGCATACTTGTGTAGCACATTGCAAGGTTTGGATAATATCAAGAATCATTCACTGGACAGAAAAACATATTATAGTTAAGACCATACTGTTTGCAGCTAAAACATTTTTGTTGAAATCATACTTTTGCATCTAAAGTCAATCAATCAACAGCAAGGATTTTATCACCTATATGCAAAGCGCATTTCCGCCCTTATAGGCGGTTCCTCTTTGATCGGGGTGTTGCCTGAGGGGATCAAGGAGTTTAAAACTTCATACAGGCGGTGCATTAATTGATACATGACACATGATATTAAGGAGCTCGAACCGCCTTAGCTTTGGGGAAACCCAGAGAGAAAAAAAACGCCTAAATTCCAAAAAAAAACAATATTAAAGTCACTGGGTGATTTGCAGGTAAGTGACTCCATCCCTTGCACAGTCCAGTCACTCACTCACTGCATGTGTGTGTGTCTTGTTATGGCGAGATTACTATGGGGAAGCTCACTATCTATCTATCTATCGTATATATTGTATTGCTATTGGTTTCAGTTACTGGTAGCGTTGAGGGGCACAGGACAGAGCCTAATAGAAAGCATTTTTTTTTCGCGAGGGCCCCTCGCCTCGTCCGTGGAAATTTCTAAAGTTAAAAAAAAATCCTTCCTATATAAACACGAGGACTGCGCCGCGCTGAAGCCAATTACTCACAGCAGATTACCTCGCTCCCAAGTCACTGCGGAGTTTATTGAGGAATGTTGTTGCATATGCAGATTTAGGATTTATTATGACAAATGCATTTTTCTCTCTCTCCATAACCACATTCGGACTGTTAGGAGGTAGGACCAACAGAAAGATAAATAGCAAATCCTAAATTCCTTGTTGCTGGTCGATTCTAGATTGCAAAAATATGATTTGAGCCCAGTACACGTTGTTATTAATAACAACGTGTGTTGGGCTCATATCATATTTGTGTGTGTGTGTGTGTTTTAAGAGGATTTTTCTCTCCCTTTCTCTCTGTGCAATCGGTAGCGTCTCATTTTTTTTACCTTCGGCAAATGATTTGGCGCCAGTCATTCCATACAGGAGGGTGGAAGAGAGAGAGAGAGAGAGGGGGGGGGGGGGGGGGGGGGGGGGGGGGGGAGGGAGAAATGCAATATCAAGGTAAACCAAGCACAATATCTATCTATCTATCTATCTATCTATCTATCTATCTATCTGTCTACCTACCTACCTATCGTCTGTCTGTCTGTCTGTCTGTCTGACTGTCTGTCTGTCTGTCTGTCTGTCTGTCTGTCTGTCATCTCTAACTGGTTTTAAAGAAGATAAGTTGGGCGTTATGAGGAGTAGAAATATGTTGATTTCATTGCATAGGATGATTAATCAAATTCCACAAAAAAAGCTTCACATATATATATTATTTCCAATTTATTGTTATTATTATCATCATCAGGACGAGTGATAAAGGCCAGGACTCGGGAGTTATTTAAGAAATATAACAATGATAATAATAAATGATCCTTGCATTTACGTATGTTTGGCCACCGTATTGTGGTGTGTGTGTAGAGTTCTGAAGGCTATTCCAAATACAAACATTTATTAGCGGGAAAGTTACTACTCTCTACAGTAAAACCATGTAAAGCGCTTTCAGACGTAAATTTATTGCATTATATTAATAATATCAATTAATTTGTCACAACTGGAAGGAACATTCAGTAAACATATAGATTACATTTCAAGTTATTTTATGAAAATAATAATTTACATGTTCACACATTTACATGAATAACATGAGCAGATAACTTTCTGCCAAATGATTAAATAAGGTGAGGGATATCTATACTATATATGTGTATAGAAAAGGAGAAAGGGATAACCTTGCTCCTTATAACGCAGCGATTAGTTATAAAGATTAGTGGCGCTAACAGTTTTCACTGTATAAATAGCCTGTTTCACATGACTGATATTACCTCTATACACGCTGAGTTCAGGATCTTTTCTGTCCTCTCTCCGTGAACTGTGATTTGCATTTTAAATCTGATATTGAAACTGGGTTTGAATTTGACATTGACATAAGATTTCTTCTTCTTCTTATTATTATTATTATTATTATTTCTGAATTAGTTAAATCTTAGGTCAATATCAAATTCAGATTCAAATTCAACTCCAGTTTCTCCCAACTATATTCGGGAGAATCCCTTCTCTCTCTTGCTCTCTCCTTCTCCCTGAGGTTTCCCAGCAAACCAGGAAGGATTTGAGTTGCACATCCTAGTCAGACCCGGCACTGGCCTTCTCACAAGAGAAGAGGGTCCATTTGATCTCACTCTTTCCAGAAATACCCACTCTGCCGTCCTCCCATGACAGTGGGCTCTGCCACCCTTCATAGTAACCCCCAACCCAAGTGTTGACCATCTTTGCCAGACTCGAAATAGAGAATCCAACAGCGTAAACATCAATATATCTTTACGTTGTGGAATTCAGTTGTAATACTGCTTGCATTTTCTCATGGCGCCCTATCACGTTGTTGAGACGTCTCAAAGCGCTTCATAGAATTCACTATAAAGTGATTGACTGCGTATTTTGTCGGCGAAACGTGCGTTCATATAGCGACTTCCATATCAAAGTAAGCATCTTAAATCACTTTAAAAATAGCATTGAATCAAAAGCTAAAGTGAATGTTATGTATAACAACAACAAATTACATTTTCTTTCACGTCCCAAGGCGCTGGACAGTCAGGAATTT